GGCCGTCGGTTTGTGGGTGATAATCGGTACTCATGTCTAGTCTTGTCCCCAAAGCTTTTTGTAGCGACTGCCAGAACCTTGAGGTGAATCTACTGTATCGGTCCGAGATAATGGATACGGGCACACCATGCAGTCGTACAATTTCTCTGAGGTATGTCCTTGTTAACTTCTCCAATTTATCCGTCTCTTTGATCGGTAGGAAATGCGCTGATTTAGTTAACCCGTCGACAATTACCCAAATGGTGTCGAGTCCGCTTGTCGTTTTGGGTAACTTGGTTATGAAATCCATGGTTATCCGCTCCCACTTCCATTCGGGTATTTCTGGTTGTTGTAATAAACCCGAAGGCTTCTGGTATTCCACCTTGACTTTGGCACATGTCAGGCATTTGCTCACATAGGTAGCAATTTTGGCTTTCATGTTTTGCCACCAGTACAACTTCTTGAGGTCGAGATACATCTTATCAGAGCCGGGATGTATGGAGTATCGTGTTTTATGGGCTTCGTTCATAACGATTTCTCTGAATCCACCAAACTTCGGTATCCAAATTCGATCCATGAAATAACGAACTCTGTTGCTCTTGGTCTCAAGGTTCTTATCCATTCCTCTTAGGGCTTTTCCTATCACATTTTCGGATTTCAAGGCTTCTATTTGAGCTTCCTTGATTTGCGTGAACAGGTGTGAATGGATCATCATAGTTAGGGACTTCACTTGGCGACCTGAGTACTCCTTCCGACTGAGTGCATCAGCCACTACATTAGCCTTTCCGGGGTGATATCGAATTTCGCATTCGTAATCACTTAGTAGTTCTACCATCGTCTCTGTCTCATGTTGAGTTCCTTCTGGTTGAGGATATGTTGGAGGCTTTTATGATTGGTGAAGATTGTACATTTTGTGCCATAGAGGTAGTGCCTCCATATCTTCAGAGCGAAGACTACTGCTCCTAGCTCAAGATCGTGTGTTGTGTAGTTTACTTCGTGCGTCTTTAGTTGCCTTGAGGCGTAGGCAATGACCTTCCCTCTTTGCATTAAGACACTCCCAAGTCCTTGGTTTGATGCATCACAATAGACCACGAAGTCCTCCGTTCCCTCTGGCAGGGTTAGGATGGGAGCACTACATAAGGCTCGCTTTAGTGCCTGAAATGCGCTATCTTGTTTTTTCTCCCCAATCGAAGGTCACATTTTTCTGGGTTAGGGTGGTAAGTGGCTTGGCAATCTTTGAAAAGTTCGGTATGAATCTTCGGTAATACCCGGTGAGTCCCAAAAATTGTTGGATTTCTGTAGGGGTCCTTGGAGTAGTCCAACTATCTATTGCCTTTATCTTGGAAGGGTCCACGTGTATTCCTTCTTTGCTTACAACATGTCCTAGGAAATCCACTTCCCAAATCCAAAATTCGCACTTGGAAAATTTTGCGGAAAGTTTCTCTGCCCTTAATGTTTCTAGTACTTGGCGGAGATGTTGGCTGTGTTCTCTTCCTGGCTTCTTGAATAGATGAGTATATCATCTATGAACACAATCACGAATTTATCCAGGAAGGGACGACATACTCGGTTCATCAAGTCCATGAACACTGCTGGAGCATTCATCAATCCGAAGGGCATTACCAAAAATTCGTAGTGACCATAACGTGTTCGGAAAGCCATTTTGGGGATGTCCCCTTCCAGTACTCGTAGTTGGTGATAACCAGATCTTAGATCGATCTTTGAGAAGTAGCTTGCTCCCTGTAGTTGGTCGAATAGATCATCTATGCGCGGTAAGGGATATCGGTTCTTGATTGTCAGTTTGTTGAGCTCCCGATAATCGATGCACATGCGAAAAGACTCATCCTTCTTTTTCACGAATAGGACTGGTGCTCCCCATGGTGAGAAGCTTGGTCTGATGAATCCCTTGCTCAACAGCTTGTTCAATTGACTGGACAGTTCCTGCATCTTGGCTGGAGCTAAACGGTAAGGTAACTTTGCTACTGGGGTAGCTCTGGGGATTAAGTCGATTCTGAATTTGACTTGACGTTCCAGTGGGATTCCTGGAAGATCTTCTGGGAAGATGTCTGGAAAATTACAGACTTCCGGAATGTCTTTAATGTTTTTCGATTCTCGTTTCTTGTCTACTACGTTGGCTAGAAAGGCACGATATTCTTTGCGAAGATATTTTTGTGCTTTAATACAGGAAATGATTTGTAAATTTGAACTAGGTTTGTCGCCATAAATGACAAGAGTTTCGCCGTTTGGCAGATTTAGGCGAATGGCCCTTTTCGTGACAAAGTAATATCGGCATGGTGAAGGCTCAGCCAGTCCATACCGATGATTACATCGAAGCTTCTTATGGAAATGGGCATAAGATCGACTCGAAACAAGTGTTCGTTTAAGTTTAGTGTGCATCCTACGTACAAGTCACTTGTGTTTTCTGTTTTACCGTTTGCCATTTCTACAATGAATATTTTATTGAGTGTTGAGGTTTTCGACTAAGTAGGTGTTTGAATTTATGACTCACAAAACTTCTCTCCGCTCCGCAGTCAAAAAGTATGCATGCATAAGTGTTGTCGAGTAGAAACGTACCCGTAACCACCGTGGGTCTGCTATTGCTTCATTCTGTCCTATTACCAGCACTCTCCCCACACTGCCAGCATTCCTTTCCTTGGGACAATTCCTCCTGAAGTGTCCAGTCTCTCCGCACCCATAACATGTCTGGCTTACTCCAGTACCAGAAACTTGAGTGATCGGTCGTGCCGGTGCTTTACAGAAACGGGCTGTGTGCCCTTTCCTGTCACAGTTCTTGCAGTGCATCTCGTGGCAAAT